CTCTCTCTCTCTCTGCCACTGGGCCTCTTTGGCCCGCCTAACCTCTAAAGAAGAAAGGTTAACTACCCTGGGTTTCCTGGCAACCCAGACACTGCCCCACCACGCCTCTATAGGGAAAGTTCTGGCCCAGAAGGCTTGTTTCTTCCAGGTCTGAGGAAGCTAGTCTTGCCAGGCTCTGTCCTAACTTCCAAGACAATTGGATAGTAGAGCTATATGAGAGAGAGCACCTAGCCAAATCTTCCTCTTAGAGGGAACTGACGCTCGGAAAGGGAGGACAGTTGGTTCAGGGCCACAGAGCTGGCCAATGGCAGTCGGGGTTCAGGCCCAGGTCTCCAACTCACAGCCCAGTGCTTTTACAGAAGCTTCAAGTTGCTGATCTGGTTGGTCTAGGATGCTATGGCCTTGTCCTGGGGACAAGGGAGGGGCGTGGGGAAGAGGGGGCTGCTGACATGGCCTGGCTTCTCAGAGGCCAGTCTTGGCCACTCCTCCATAGAAAGCTAGAGTGGAAGTCTAGACCTGCTATCATGTCACCCTGTTCTCCTGGTTAGAACATTGCAAACTCTCTAAAATTGAGCGCAAGCTCTCACATTTTACCACATGAACCCTGTGTGACCTCAGAGTGCTTACGAAACAAACAGCCCTGGCCAGAAGAAGTCAAGAAGAAGTAGTGGTTTTCTTGTCCTCGCCCAGCAGACTCATTCCAATACTGTTTATTATATTTGTTTCACTTCCTGCCTCATCTGCAAGAGTGAGACCCCTTCTCTTTCTCAAGTTATTGACTAAGGGGAAAGAGATGTTGCTGGGGAATGAAGAGTGGTTGGTTTTCTCCGGGAATGAACGTCAAGTATTAGAGTAGAGAGAACCCCAAGAGAGTGTGATTCTTAGGGGTCACCCTCTAAGTGTATGCCTTGTCCCACGGTTCAAGTTACCTGAGAACGGGCAAGTCCCTCCCTCCCTGCTGTCTCCCTGTCCCCTGAATGGGCCTGAGAGGAGAAGCAAATGCAGACAGCTCTCGTTGGCTGGGTCTGCTTTGATCACTTTATTTCTGGCAAAGAACCTTTTCTAAGTCATCCCAAAGGAGCTCTTGATGATTAAATAAGTAAAATAGTAACATAGGGAACAATTAGAAAATCTAAGATTTTTTGCTTTCAAAGACTCCTGGGAATAATTTTGGCTTCTGGTTATTGCCATGGGAGCCTTTCCAGCACCTGCACCATCCTCCTCCTCCCCTGGCTCAGGGCCTATGAGCCCTGACCCTCACAGTGACCCTCACTCCAAGTCCTGGACAAGCGCTGAGTAGTGGCCGGCTGGCCTTGGGCATGCGCTCCCTTCCCGACTCACCCCGATCACCCCTTTCTTCACGTCTCCTTTTCTAGAAGAGGGATGCCATTTGTAGTTGGCCATCTGGGCCTTCACATCCTCCTCCCCGGGGGCTGACCTGGGCGAGTGCCTTTCTATTCTCTGACCCACTCCTCAGGGAAGTACCAAGGCCTAATTCTCAGAGAGACGAAAAGTCAAACAATTTTCATGATGAAAGTGGGATGCTCAGGCCATGCTAAGAGAAGACCATAACCTTCTCATCCCGGTAGGTCCACTGACAGCATCTTCCTGTCTTTGTGCTGAAATTCTGAGATGTCTGGGATGTTCTGACCCTGTTCCAAGAAGCCAGGAGACGACCCAGTACGAGAGAAGAGCCTTCTTGCTCAACTGGCTGGGATGCTTTCCTGATCACAAATCTCCACGAGCCCTGGCTGGGGCCAGCAGGACTCCCTGGTTGTCATATGGAGAAAGAGCGACTAGTGTGTGAAGGGTGCTGACTGCACCCCGACGGGCACCCCGAGATCAGATAGGGCATGGGTCCCAGCAGGCCAGACCTGGAAAGGCCCCCAGTGACGGCTCACTCCTCCAGCCCAGCTCCGGGTCCCCTCCTTGACCTTCTTCCTGCTCCTTAGTGATCTTACATCTCTCTGTGGGGCCAGACAGGATTGGGAGCGGCCCCGTTGGGGTAAGAGCCATCTGGCCTCGTCCTGTATAGACATACACCCCTTTGCCACATCCCCCCACCCTCGGCACAGGCGTGCTTCAGCTGCAAAACGTCTTGGTAGACTGACGCTGGCTCTTTACTAAGAGTAAACGAGTGGGCCACCACCGGGTGATGTGGCCACCAGTGCTCACAGCTCACTCATGCTGGGGGTAGACCCTGCTGCCCTACACCGCCAGGGCCTTCACCCTCAAAGCCTGGTGGGCCTAGGACACCCTGATTCATCCTGGAAATCAAACTAGTGGCTCAAAGGGAAGGAATGAGAGCCATCGGCCTGACTTCCTCAGGACCACTGAAAAGAGGTTTCCCACGGTCAGAAAAGATCCACCCTGACTAATACCAATGTGCTCTTAGGGCACAGAGAAACAATAGGACTTTAGGCACTAAAAAGTGACACTTCGCCCAGATCCAGCCTGGGAGAAGACCAGAGAGAAGGGGTGGGGAAGCAGGAGACTCCCAGCCCTTAGTGGGTCCCTGCCCTGCCCTGCACAGGTCAGGGGAAGGCGCAGGGAACTTGAGGAAAATGCCGCTGAGGATGCCAGTCCCCAGGAGCCCGTGGCTCTGAAGCCCACCCCCGTGAACGCAGCTCTCCTGACTCGGCGCTGGTCCTTACCGCGTGGACAGCCCTAGGGGGACAGTCAGGCTGGGCTCCTGCCCTTCGATGCTTCCCTGTTCCCACGAGAACGCCTGGGGAAGCGACGGGAAGGGAAGAAGAGATTCTCTTTTATTTTGGAAGAAATCAAAGGGGATTCGGGAATGAAGCACCTTAAGCAATGCCCCCTTGAGACCTCGTGTCGACACCCTAGGGTCTTCGCAGGCATGACTTTGGCTCAGCATTTCCCTTCTAAGAGCCAAGAGTGGCCAGCAAGGAAAGGGGTGGGGTCAGAGGGTGGGAGGAGGGATGGGGCGGTCGGTGCTGAGAGCTGCTGCCTGCCCTCCTCGCCCCTCCACCGCAGGAAAACGCTCTGGCCGGCACAGGGGCGGGAGGTCCCGCTCCTTCTCCCTGGTACGTAGGCATGATCTCTTTTTAAAATCTGTATATAATATATATATATATTTATATCTGCATATATATATATTTATATTTATATATTTATATGGTCTATGTACACGTATTGCACAGGCCTCTTGCAGCCGCCCCGTTCCTGCCTTGTCAATGGTAGCGGTTCCTCTTCTCTTCACTTTCGGACGTGTAGTCGCGGGACCTGATGCCATTCTGAAGATTGATGAGCGAGTCCTTCATCTGTAAGACAGGGAAACCCACCCCAGGCGCGGGTCGGTGCCCTCAGCAGGCCTCTCCCTGCCACAGCGCCAGCCATACTGCAGGGACAGATGCTGACCACAGTCAGAGCCCACGGGAGCCAGCTCCTGACACCCATGTGGTTCCCAGGGACAGTCTTGGGCTGAAGGGGACACCCACCCCAGCACTGTGGCTTGCTGTGGCCCTTGTACCACTGACGTCAGAGTCCTCTCTAAGCACTACCCTGCTATAAGGAGCCATCTCTGCCTTTTACGTCACCCACGCAGTGTAACCCGGCTCCCCACTCGTCCCCAATACACCGTGTGTCCATCTGCGTCCATTCCTTATTTCCCTAGCCTGGAAATTTTTTTGCTCTTGCCTATGCATTTGTTTGTTTATTAGATTTTTGCCATAGGGTTTGTGCATTCACCAGAGAGAGACAGAGCGAGGGAAAGTGTGGGACTTCCACACGGCCAGCCGTGGTTCTAGTCCTGGACCTGGTGGCTTGCGATTCATGCACATACATGAAATTCATTTGTGTGTGCATGCCCCAAATCCCAAGAGGAAAATGGAGGAGAAGGGATTGGGTGTGGTCATCCCCTAAGGGAGTTCTCATTCTCTGTCTCTCTGGCAAATGCACTCACCCTATAGCAAAAAAAAAAAAACTCTCAAGAAAAAATAAAAGAGTAAATATTTCCAAGGAAGGAAGAAGTCCCTCCTCCTCCCTCCCAGGGAAATGAAGCTAATGATCGGTTTTGCCCAGGATGACTCTTGAATAGCTGAACCGGGGTTTCTGGAGGAATGCTGGCAACTGCACGGCCAGGAGGTTATGCAGACATCCCCCCCCACCCCCCACTCCCCCACCCCACT